TGCTCTACCTAGGTAGCTATCGACGAGAATAATCAACATGAGGAAAGAAGAAGAATGATGTGCCATCAGCGTTGACGAGACTTATATCCCTTGCTTCCAGCACGTGAGAGGTATACACGTGACCAGACCGTCACAAAGTGTGGCTAGTCTCGGAGATACAGTTAACTAGAACCCTAGATACGATACGAGAGAAGCCAGGTTGTGACAGAGCCTCAGAGGTCTGGTTAGTAGAGAAAGATTGAGTGGCAAGAAAGGTGATAAAATTTGGCTGATGCTTCCTATCTACTTATTTCCTGACATAGATGCCTTCGCATTTGCGTGAAAGTGCAGGGAAAACCTTGTAAAAGGGAGAAAAAACCCGCACCAAGGCTTATTGTCCACTCTCAGTCTGACTTTAGAAGTCACTTCTAATCAGGGTCGTATCATTCCAAATCTCACTTCGTTGGTCACGGAGCCAAATACGTGCATAGCTGTCATCATACTTATCCAACTTGCAGTAAACCTCAAGAAGTCCTCCAGAAGCCGATGCAGCTAGTCCAGTGTCATCTGCCACACTATACTGCTTGCGAGAAAGAGCACCAGCAAAATACCCACGAGTTGGACTCCAGCAGAGCTCTTTCAGTTTACTGTCAGATGTAATATAGTACACCCGAATCTGTCCAAATTAGTCACTTAATAATTAATATCCAGGAGTTCCTTGTTGATGACATACCTGGTCTTCTCCATCAAATTTATATCCCACTGCTTCAATAGGACTGCCTTTCTTCGTTTGGGTGGAAACGTTTCCCTTGGCCTCAACAATGACTGGCTGTTGGTCGTAGTAATCTTCATTGTCTTTCTTAATAAAGGCGCACAGCTTTCCACTTGTAGTGGTATAGAAGAAGTGGCTGACACCAGAAGCATCAGGGCCAATGTGGGCGGCAGCATTGTTCTAAGCACTGGTTAGGACAGGTATATAAATCAAAATGTTAATGTTGAAAATACCTTGGTAACATTTGACATTTTTGTTGATGTGAGCTTGCAACCTGAGATTTCAGAAGATGAAAAGCAGAATTGAAGAATGAAGATAAAAGAGATTTGAAGGAAACAGCTTTCAAACTTGGAGTGCAAGATGTTGATGATGATGGTAATGCTGGGAAAATAGCTCTATTTATACCTGGGCCTTGCATCTTTATGTAAGATAATTGTATGTAGTATTGCAGCATGAAACAAAGAGTCAATGAAGCAGGAATCAGAATGGTGGCTGCGCTGAAGGGTACAGTATGATAGCCATACTGAAGACCAGAAGGCCAGTGATGCATGACAGCATGATGGTAGCTGCGCTGAAGGGTGCAATGTGATAGCCATGCTGAAGACCAGATCACCAGAAGGCCAATGATGCATGATGGTGGCTGCGCTGAAGGATGCAGTGTGATAGCCATGCTGAAGACCAGAAATAGGCCAGTGATGCAATGATGCATGGGAGCATGATGGTGGCTGCGCTGAAGGGTGCAGTGTGATAGCCATGCTGAAGACCAGAATCACCAGATCACCAGAAGGCCAGTGATGCATGATGGTGGCTACGCTAAAGGATGTACTGTGATAGCCATGCTGATTGCTGAAGACCAGAAATAGGCCAGTGATGCATGGCAGCATCTGCATGATGGTGGCTGCGCTGAAGGGTGCAGTGTGATAGC